ATATATAAAATTCTTACACGAATTAATCAATTTCAGTTAATCTTTTTTAATATTTACCTTTTTAAAGCTTTAGTTTTCTATCGATTAATACATTGCAAACGACTGATAAATAAATTTATTATTAGAGAAAAAGAATCTTGAGTAAAATGAAAATTTTTTATTATTCATAGATTACTATATAATATTAGTATTTTTCATAGATTAATCCATAAGATAGTATATAAGATACGTTAAAGCTATTGTATATTTCCAATTTAGTAAATTACGTTTTCCATCAAAATTAAAATAATAGTATTTATTTTGTTCATAATTTATGCCTATTAATTAAAAAAATATGCGCATTTATTCAAAATATGTGATTATAATTGAAAAATACATAATAACTTAATTTTATTTTCATTAATTAAATAATAGAATGATAATTGATTTGTTATTATACGCAATGAATTGATATATAGTGATGTATAAAATAGAAATTAATTTTCACACAATTACATAAAAAAGTAAATATATATCTTTTATAAATATATAAGATTTAAATCACGTATGATAAAACAGGCAAATATATGTAATCAATGTAGTTATGCATTTGTATGCACATCACACAACGATTATATAAGTAATGCAATCTGTAAAAATATATTCAATTAATTTTTATTTTAAGGAAAATAGAAATGGGTAATTTATAAAATAAACTAATTTTAATATTTACATTCGCTTACATTGCAGTCATTATGTTGCAGACTTTATAATTCTATAATAAACATAAAAATTTAATCCGTAAGAATACATTAATAACATTTTGTTAACTTATAATTAATTTTCTATTTATTTATATGATATGAGATTAAAGAAATAAAAATTCTGATACTTTTTGTATAATTGGCGTAATATTTTATTAAATTTTTTTTCATATTATTGTAATACATTCAATGACAAATGACAAAAAGCTAAACTAATATAACTTTTTATTGGAGAAATGCTGAAGATTCGTATATCAACTACATATTTATTACGTGATTGCTTTTAATTTTATTATTCAGCGTGTTCATTTTCTTCATGACTTTCAGCAGAATGTGGAGAAACTTTATCCTCAGCTTTTAATATACATTCCGTAAGAGCGAAACTTTTTTCGCATTTGTCTGTCATGTCTTTTGCTAAAATAGAAAAAAAATTATTAGAAAGTGACAAGAAGTAAAGTATGTTACACGTTTATTAAGCTTATTATATTAAAATAATTAAATATAAATTTTAATAGATTACCATCAAAACTTATTTAATAATTAACATTATAAATAGATTCATAAAAAATATAGCCAATAATCTTGCAATAATAAGAAGTGAATTAGGCAAGTTTTAGTGTAAGATTATGTAACTTACATTCATTTAAGCAATTTTCAAAATCTTTATAAAGTTGATGTTCTGTTGATTGTATATTTGATCTTGCCATGTAAACCTCACGCATTTTTTCTATGTTGTATTCGGAACCTTCCATCTAATATTATAAAAAAAAATATATAATATTAATAACTTTTAATTATTTTTAGAAATGTAGAAATCATTGTACATGTAATATACATATTTGTAATATACATTATTTTTAATATAATGTATATATTATATAATAATACATAATATAATAATATAATATAATGTAATAATAATATGTAATATAAGAATATATAATAATAATAATAATAATAATAACTAAACTTCAAAATGAAAGTAAGAATTAATTCAACAACAACAAATTAATTCTAATCATTCAAATAGTTTTAAATAAAAAGTATTATAAGAAAATATGTTTATAATTCTAAATAATAATGTTATTCATATTTAGGATTACGAAAGTAATCTCATTAAATAGATTATTTTATGAACGACATTTTAAAGTAAATAGTCAGAATTAACTTACCAATTCCGCTTTTTCTAACAAGCATTGGATAATGCAAGCATTTTTTTTGCTTTTTCCTCATTTTCGGATTTTTTGTGCCTATCATGAATTATATCGTTTACTGTGAATATGTCATCTAGAAAATAAATTTAAGAAATATAACTTTTGTGTTTATGTAAATAATTATAAACAATATATATAATTCTTTATGTTTAAAAAGATTGTATAAATTTAGATGCATTATGATTATACATATATTATATAAATTTAAATTTATTTTTACTAATCTAATTAACTTTTTTATTATTTTATCAATATACATTAAAATTTAATTAATATATTTAAAATGACTCTGTATTTCTTTAAATTATGCTTTTAAAAAAGAGATAAATAAATTACATTTTTATTAATTTTTTATTGCAAATAATTTTTAATAAAATTTTACTTTATAAATAATTACTTTATAAATAATTTAAAAAGATATTTTATATTAAATACATAAGCAGTTTAGATAGTTGTAACATAAAAAATAAAATTAATAAACTTTTGTTAAAAAGTAATTAATTTAAAATTAATCGTAATATTCCTGAAATTCTTGATTTCATAGTTTGTTGAATTACAAGAAAAAAAGCAAATTGAAGTCTTACATTACTTACCATTAGACATTTGATGTTCTTCTAAACAAGTATTGTAATTCTCAGTATTATCGGTTGGTCCTAGCTTCTTTCCTATCTTTCTTGAGTTTCCAACATCAAAAAACTAAAACAAGATTTTATTTCATATATTACTTTAGTCAACATTTTTTTATGTACAATACACAAATATATATATATATATTACTGTATGTCAATATTATACATAACTGTAACATTATAATTCATAATTTATTTAAGATTAAAATAAAAGAACAATTTTTTATATAAAAAAATCATTATTTTTATACTTATATTTAATCTTTATGGCAGAAAGGTACATACAAGTGCAAAAATGCAAACAGAGAATATAAGCGTCTTCATCTTGTTGATAATTATGCCACTTTGTTTAAAGGAACTTGATTAAGAATGCAATGGAACTTAATGTGACTTAGTGTGACCGTATTTATACCAATTGTCTTATATAAAATGTGTAGATAAAGTTGCGAGATCAATAGTTTTGTAAACATGAGATACATATTATGAGATACAAACAAAAATATAATGATAAATTACTAACATAAACTTCACATACATAGCTACTTATCTGTTATCAGAGCATTAAAAGCTTACATACATGTAATTCTTATGTATATGTTATCCATGTAGTTGCATCCATATATACATTCTGATAATTATTCATAATTATTCTTTAATGAACTGTTATTCATGTTTATCTTTGATATGAATTCTAGACTATTCCTAACTTTCTTAATTACTATATTATAAATATATGAAAAATAGAGGAATTCGAGGAAATTCTTTATCTTTCTCTTTCCCTTAGTTAAGACAAAAATAATTATTAAAATAAATTAGTATGAAGACGCATTGAAAATGCATTATATTAAATTTCAAACTTGGCTTACTATGTCACCAAATTGGAATAATTATATGTTTAATTTGTCCTTCTTTATTTCTTATAATCTGTATTAATCGAGACTAAAATACGTTGAAATCGAAATTATTTATTGTATTATGAAATTATTTGTTGAATTAGATAGTTAAAGAGGAAACTATTTTCTGCGATTCCTTTTTATTTCTGGAAAAATATTATTTAAATATTTATTAAAAATTTCTTAAAAATGTATTTTTAATATTAATATTAGTATTTGTTTATGTAAATTGTGGTTTGTATTAAACGCATTTTGACAATCTACCATAGTAAAAAATAATTACATAAATGCTAAGAAATTGTTTTACTATTAATTGAAAAACTTGAAATTATGACATAAAGAAAAATAGAAATTTTAAATAGAAATTTTGAGATATTAACTTTCAAACTGTCTCTAGTAGATTTATAACTATAGTCATCTACAACGAGCCCTCAAAAATAACCGGAACATCTAATATTTTATATTAATTGCAGCCGTAGAATATACCAAGATGACCACTAGAAATGATCCATTTTTAGAAGAAGTTCGACACATTATGTAGTACTTAGAGTTTTCTCGCTTGTAACATGCCCACATCGAAAGCCATTAATACTATTGAAAGTCAATACTATTGAATGACTTTGTTACCTTGTAACGCCTCGTCATACATAAAATGTGTAGTCAGTTAGGTATTATTTGTGTTATCATCGAATGTTTTTTTGTCGTAGCCACATTAACGACGTATTAACGACGTAGCCTTGAACATTGTTTACACGCCGCGTCTAGCGCGCGCCGTGTTTACGAGCGTTCCGCGTGGTATCATTCACTAATCGCCATTCGTACGGGCAGGTAGCGGTGCGCGTCGCTCCGCGTTTCTTTGCATTTTTTCATTATTAAATAATACCAAACGTTGCTGTATCATACGAATTTACACTAAATGCTTATTAACAATTGATTAAACACTAAATGCTTATTAACAATTGATTAAACAAATGATTCGTAAGCGTATCAAGGCAAAGGCCTTTCTAATAAAATACATACATATGTTGCGCGACTTATCCCTTTTGAAATTAATAACTTTTTGTAAATGATAACTCTTTCGATGGGTACTTTGACCGTGGCGGAGGGGCTGAGTATTCCGTCTGAGGGATTCCAAAGACGAAGGAACGAATATTACCCGTTGCAACCTTATTAATTACTTTAATATTAATGTTAGATGATATTAATATTATTAATATAACATAGCCACGAGTCGTCAATTATATTATTTAATGTTTTCGTAATCGAAAGATATTATACCGTAGAAATTAAATATTATTAGTAATATTGTTGAACATTTTGTTATAACTAGGCTATTGTTGTTGTAATCTTGAGTCGTGCTTTACGCGCCGCAGCTGATATATCACGTATTTACGAGCGCGAATAGCGCGATTCCACATGCTCTTCATCATTCATTCATCGGCGCTCGTACGGACAGATGGCAAAACACGCTGCTCCGAATTTCTTCGCATTTCTTTGGTATTGAATGGTACTCAAGCATTGCTCTGTTTTATAGATAATATAATAATGCTTATTAATCGATTAATAATTATAAGCATGTCGAGATGACAACTCTTTAATGAAATGTATACATATTTCTTGAAAATTTATAATTTTTTGTAAACATTAATCCCTTCAAAGGACACGGTCTTGACGTGGCAGGGGGGCTCAGTATTCTGAGAGATTCCGTTGGGGAACTCAACGCAATCCCAAAGAAGCTAACAGACTACCCATTGCACCGTTATTAATAATATTAATATTAACATTAAGTACTATTACTGTTATTAATAATGTACGCAGCATAGCCACGAATCGTTCAATGGCTCTTATGTGGCAAATAACCGAACGTCATTTTTCCGTCGCGATTTTCAAGTGAATGAATGAACTGCAGCCAGTTCATCGCGCCGCGCGTTTGCTTCGGGAGCGCCGTAGAAGTGATCGGATTAAAAGACTTTTCCTCGTCCTGCGAAAGTTGGTTTGACAAATATCATTGCTTGACAGTTAACATCCCGAAAAGTTCGCCGACTTGGATGCTGACTAGACCGAGAGAACATCATGTTTTCACGGTCAGCTAAACGCGGAGTGTCGCGCGAAAGATTTTTATTTAAAATTAAATCCGCAATTATCTGTAATTATAATAATTCGCGAGTGTTTTTCGCGAGTGTCCTGTACTACGAGGAGATCTGACGATCTAACGTCCCGAGAGGAGGAAGAGGCCTAGGAGAGGCATCGAGCATCGGCGGAGCAACCTTGCGGTAAATATACATTTTTTATCAGCATAAAATTATTCGATTTCACATTTATTTGGATTATTAAATTTCGATTTGAATTTAAAATTTCTAGTTCTAGTAGAAAGAAAAACAGTTTAAAATTTTATACTCTTCTCTTTTTATAAAGACTTTTTTAAAAAATTATTTTATTATTTTAATGAATAATTGAAAGATAAATATGTAAATTTGATATGCGTAAAAACAACTTTTTAAAATATCTATCATTTAGAGCACTGTTATAATTTGAATGTCTGTTTCTGTGTTACAGAATCATCGTAGCTACGTGGCAGATTCACTCCGCTGTTGCGCATCGAATCGGTGAGTGATGAATCTTTTTTTATTGGAGTTATTTTACAAATCTGTAAAATTTATTTTAGATTTTTTTTATTATATTTATATTTATAAAAATATTGCCATTGGATACCTTCACAGATTCGTTGCCCTATAATGGATAGGCTTAAACAATTTAGGATACATATTTAATTCTGGTATGAGATTACTTATTAATTTATTGTACTGAACATTAATGCACTTTCTAAATTTATGGAACAATTTCGCAAGTATAATTTAAGGTTTTTAAAAATTTAGATACATATACATGTGTAATACAAAAGTTGCATAAACAGATAATAGGATAAAAGATAAGGGATAATAGGATTAAAAGATAGGATTTAATTTATTAAAAATTTAACGAATACCACAAGCTTTGTATTCGCCTGATATGGCACCGTGTGACTTTTTTCTATTCCCTCGGCTGAAATTACTGCTTCATCGATATCGTTTTGAATCGATACACGTGATAAAGATGAATTCGCTAGGCGTTCTAAAGGCTATACCTGAAATCAACTATAAAAGTGCTTCGAAGATTCTAAAAAACTGTTAGTAGAAATGTCTTACAATAGGAGAGGATTATTTTAAAAAGGATGAAATAAATTTTGATGAATAAATTCAATTTGCGTTTTATTGGATCAGTCGCGACATTTTTTGATTACAGTAGTGTATTAAACATACATACATATTTATTTAATGTACGTTATCTTAAACATAATAAATTTTTTTGAATTCTTATAATTATATAGTTTTAACTATTTGTATAGTATTGTATAGTTGTATAATATTGTATAGTTTTGTAGTTAATTATTTTATTCAGCTTGTGTTGTTTCTTCTTTTTCTTCTTCTGTTTCTTCTATTTCGTGTTCACCATGTCCTTCTACTTTGTGCATAGCTCTCATAATGCATTCATACAGATCAAAGCATTTCTCACATTCTTGCGTAATACTTCTCACTATCAAACAAATATATAAAAATTATATAAAAATCCTTGTATTTTAAAATGAAATATAATACTATTGCTAATATATTATTTTAAAAAGTTGTTATACTCAATTTTATACAAATTTATATGTAACAAATTCTTCTGTTAATTTTATATCCTAATTGCTATCATA